TGGCTGCAATACAATACCTTCTGGTAACAGTATATAGCGGGATGACTAGCTCAGGCTAGGGTTCAGAAGAAAAGATCTGTCCCTGGGTCTTTACGGGCCTTGCTCTAACAGGGCATGGGAAGCACAGTTTTTGAGCACACAGTTGCACACACTGAGAGCAATGGTTGTCACTTGTTTGTTGATTTGTTAAAGAACACTTACGGCTACTAACACACATGGTCACACTGACATGTGATTAACTGCAGATCCATTTACCGATGTCAAGCACATTATTGCGGTTTTCGAGGTGAAACTATGGTCAAAGGTAAAAGGTAAAGTTGTCCCTGTGCTTAACTAATTAAGAACTACGACATGAAGGTGAATAAGCGATGGATGTATACATGTAGATCCACATTTTCTTGACATCGGGACTATTTGGACGTGAGTGGTCAGTTTCACACCCCGACCGCTTTACTCCCGGGGAAAGAGCCCCCGGTACCCATTGGATAAGGGGCTGGGTGGGCTCCAGAGCCGGTCTGGACGACGTGGAGAAGAAAAAGTTCTTAACTCAAACGGGACCTGAACTCCGACCCCCTCGTCGTCCAGCTCATAGCCAGTCGCTATACCGACTGCACTATCCCGGTTGCTTCGAAAGTCACACAATTGTTACGTAATAATCTGACATAGAAGCCAGTCTAATAAGTTAATTTAGAATTTCTGCGTAGCGCAAGATATATGTCCCAATGTTCCGGAAATCGAAACCAGAGTGTCTCAGAGCCTCAGCTTTCACCAGACGTTGTCTCACTCAAGCATGCCTCACTGGCCTGGTTCAGAAACTAGGAGGTATACAAAATTTTGCATTTTCCAATGGGATGGTGTTGCCACGCGATTTTAGCCTTCAAAATTCAAACGGCATTTTTGGCATCCTCGTGATACGAAATACATTTAGCGTGGGTATTGGGTCAACCTGCTTGTGGTTTATCGCATGCCTTAGATGTCAAATATTGTGTTACAAAAGCCTGACCTCATGTTAAACATATAAAATTTATAGGAAAATTTGCAGGTGACTGAATCCTGTTCACACAGCAATAACGAGTCTGAATAACATTCTGAATGTATGTATGCCACTGTATACTTAATCCCAGCTTATGGCATATAGCTTACAATTTAGTAATATTAATCAAATATTCGTTATAATGAACCTAATTGTAGTCGACGGTTAGAGTTTTATGCTCAGCAATTTCCCGTTGAAATGTCAACGGGATTTATTCTAATATTACGGTAGAACTGAATGTTGAGCGTTCATAAACATAGATGAGTATTTAATTACAATTTAACACAAATGTATTTGATCTAATTAACCAACTAACCAACTCTCTAGCTATCGTTACTTAGGTGAACCCTCCTTGAGAAATCGCCAGTTGCCGAGCCACTCAAAAATTACCCAATACGAAGGTTCATTACTGTGCTCACAAGAGCCCTCAACTGGTCTCTATCCTGCGCCAGATTAATCCAGTCAAAACCACCACATCCTCTCTCTTTAAGGTCCTGTGGTCGACTCCGCCTCTAACAGAAATTAGTACCAGGAATCATCTTCCTGGGCTGCCGGCGATTAAGGCTGACAACGCTACCGCCATCTGTGACCAGATTTTATAGAAAATCTGAGAGCCTCGATGTGTCACGATCCTATAGGTCACCCACTGCCTGTGGCAGGGATAGCTTACCGTTTATTTTTCCTGCAAGGCTTACAGTTTACAATGTGATCAAACAGAGAGACTGGGCGGAAAATTGCGCTATGCATCATGACATAAGTTTTCTTATATGTAATAATGGAACTGTTGCTCTTGAAGGGTTGACACTTATTTGGTTTGAAGCCCTTTGAAATTGTTCATTGATACGATAAGAAACGAGACTATATTCGATAGAAACCTAACTTGGAGATTAATGAATCTCTGGAGAACAGCCACCGTCACCTTCAGGCTTGGTTGCTTACTCATGTAGGAAGAATAAGAAGGTAATGCTACCGTGAATATACGGTCCTGACGCGATTGTATGACGCATGAGTAGAGCCCATGATGGCGAGTCCTCTCAGCGTTTCCTTCTGTTAGACATTTTGTTCCATCTTCAAGACTACTGGAAGGAAAGAAATTGCATTTCACTTTAATGGACATTACACAAAATTTCTAATCCTGGCTCTTATAAGTCCAATAAGGGTCAGTCAAATGAAAACGGCTCACCACGCATAACTCACACGGCGCGCAAGTTGGTAACACTGGAATTTGCTTACGGTATGAACATCTAGTGTGGACTCGGGAAAGCACAGTGAAAACGTGCCCTTACTCACTAGTCGTTGGTTTATTGTGCTGGAAGTAAGGTTAGTGCTACGTGTGGTCATCCAACATCAGTAATGGAGATGGGTAAAGAAGAACAGCGAAGTGTAGTGCGCTTTTTGACTGCTGAAGGTGTAGGAGGACGAGATGTTCATCGTCGCATGTCTGTTGTTTACGGCGAACACAGCATGTCACGTTCGCGTGTGCTGGCGTGGCATAAGAGATTCCGAGAGGGACGTGTGTCACTGCAAGATGATGCTCTCCCAGGATAGGCTCATCGTGTCATCACTCCTGATGTTATTGCTGCGTTGGACTGTCATATCCAGGCAAACCGACGGATCACTTTGGAAGAAATTAGTCTTTTGATGGGGATAAGTCACGGTTCCGTACACGCCACTGGACAAAACACCTGCTGAGGAAAGCAGTCTTCTGGGATTTGGCGCCGTGTATATGTGGTGTTAACCGACGTTTCGGAGGAACGTATCGCCCCCATCTTCAGGGTTGAAGAAAAAGTATAGGTAAATCTGCAAGCGACAACACCGTGAGACACGGTAAAGCAGACGATTTACCTATACTTTTTCTTCAACCGTGAAGATGGGGGCGATACGTTCCTCCGAAACGTCGGTTAACACCACATATACACGGCGCCAAATCCCAGAAGACTTCTTTCTTCATAGTCACCGCCGTGAAAGCCTCAAATCTTACAAAACACCTGCTGTACCGCAAAATCTGCCCGCAGTGGGTTCCACATCAACTCACGGAGGAACAGAAGATTCAGAGAATGGCTGCATCACTGGGTCACTTGCAACGATACCATGAGGAAGAATATGCTTTCCTGTCCCATATTGCCACTGGGGACAAAACTTGGTGCCACCATTTTGAACCCGAGAGCAAACGGCAGCTCCAACAGTGGAAACACGTGAATTCTACCCCGCCGAAGAAATCCAAAGCCGTACACACAAGTTCCGGTAATGTGATAATAACCTTCTTCGATTACAAGGGCCCTCTGCTTATCGAATTTCTCGAGCATGGGGCCACAATCAGTGCACAGCGCTATGAAGACACTTTGCAGAAACTTAGACGTGCCATAAAGTCAAAACGCCCTGGAATGCTATCGAACGGCATTACCTTCTTCATGATAATGCGCACCCCCACACTGCCAACTCTGTGAGGAATACGCTATAGAGATTTATTTGGGAAGTGTTTCAACATCCCCCCTACAGCCCAGATCTCTCCCGATGTGTTTTTCACATTTTTGGAGACCTGAAGAGAGACATTTGTGGACATCTGTTTGCATCGGACGAAGACGTCTGTGGCTGGGTAAAGATGTGGCTCCGTAGACAGCCCACAAGCTTTTTCAAGGATGGGATTGATTGTCTTATCTCCCAGTGGGATAAATATATTAACAGTTTTGGAGATTACTTTTGAAGTAAGAAATGTTCTTTAATATGTTTCGGCTTCTGACCCGTTTTCATTCGACTGCCCCTCATAATTTTTGCAACCACTTTACTTGGAAACCTTTACAGTTTTCCTAAAAATGTTGCTAATTATGCAAATAAACTGTTTCGTTCATTGTATATGTTGTCACATGACGGGGTTTGGATTGGTAATCGGATTATTTGACACGCTAGGAATTACAAATAACTACGACAGTCTCACTGAGTTACACAGTCTAAAATAATCACTGTGGCCACAGCACACGTAATTTCTTCTCTTCTGGGCTTCCGAATTATTCGTGACCTTAGCTAGCAGCTTCTAACTTCTGTTCCCTAGCAATGGCTGTTGTACTGTCACCTGTTTACACAGCTGTTATATGGCAATGGGTCTACATGTCACAGTATATAGTCTTCACATTTTAATTGTGGTCTTCAGAATTGTAAGTTTGTTTTAGCTTGATTCTTGGCGCGTTCAGCAGTTCGGAAAGCATGTCTTGAATGTGTGATGCTAGTGGATAACCAATCGGAAGGGATTTGGAAGGAAGCGATCGTGGCCTACTTTAAGACAAAACTCCGGAAATTGCCTGAAGCGACTAAGAAAAACGGAAGTGAATCTTAGTCGTAACATTCGGTATGCCAGTCGAGATACGAACTGGGTACCTCTCAAGCGGATGTCGGAAGTGTTACTGTTTAGGAAACCTTTATTTATTTCTGGATTATATCACCATATACTTTTTCAGCTGGTTACTAACATTTCGCAGGTGCATTCTGACACAATTTTCAGGGTTCAAATGCAAGGAAAGTTTCTCCTACTTCCTGTAATGTGACTGACATTGCAGAGGGTAACTTTAACGGGAATTGTGCCGTCGAGTGGTTTTTTTCGAATTCAGAAGGTTCTGTGATCAAACCTCGGTCCAGAGATCGATACTCCTGAGTAGGATTCGTCCTGGTGTCCTTCAGCCCCTCTAGGTACATGGGGGTATAGCGGCTTAAATGAGGCCCGACCGCTTTCTTCAGTCTCTCCATTTTCTTCTTCTCCGAGTTTTGTGGATTGGGCCCTCGGGCGTATGCTAGTCGAGGCGCCATATTGTACGGCCGTTGCCAAACAGCGGCTCGGTAATCACTTCTCCCACGACAATGAATACACACACAGAAGTAGACAGATTGTTGGACGCCTTGTCTTCTGTGCGGCCCATAACGAGGTCAGCTGTCTCTACAACTGACCGTGCTGACGTACGTATGTTTTATGTTGCAGCTCGTGATGGAGCGTCGCGACGTCATCCTGACGGCCGTCTTGTCCACCCTGGCTGCTCTCATTACACTGGGCGTGACTCTGTTCATCTGTTACTGGTGGCACAAGAGGAAGCGCAAGAGAGACGAGGAAGACGGCGAACAGGGAGACAGGGGAGGCGCTAAGGTCCGCATGGACACCGGCGCCAGCAAGGAGGGGCGCTCCAACGGGTTTCTGAGCCTCAAGACTCCTCTCATCAGCACCAAGACCCTGGGGTGAGTACGAGGATGAACCACGCAAATGAAACTGTGTTTCTCTGTCTTCTTTACCGCTGTTGGTGTAGCAATGCTATTGCAGTCCCCGGCTCTCGAGGGACTTGGCTTGACGGACCTAGAAACCGACGTATTGAGGTACTTTTTCTTAATTCGCTTAGTGGCGGTGGAGTCCAGCTGGGTCCACTCGGCACGGCGGCCACTGATTGGACTGTTGTACCTGACCCGGGTGATTATGATGATGGAGAATGTGGTGTAATGAATATTGGCAGGGGAAACCGAAGTAATCAGCGCCACTTTGTCCACCACAAATCCCACTTGACACAGACCCGGGATTGAATCCACGCCCCGGGGGGAAGCCAGCGACTAACCGCTTGAGCTATGGCGCGGCCTTCTGCTTGAGATGACGTCATGTCCTATGAACACCGGAACTGACACAAAGACCTCCGATGCAAGGTAGAGAGAACGGTACCTTCAGATCTCAACAGTACGATTCGAATTCAAAATCGCTTTCCGTACGGGAATTACAGGAGCATCTGCTATCATCCCTTAAGAAGTAACGTTTGCAGCAGTTTGAATTGCAGGGTCTGTGCTTGATCTGGCCCAGCGATGATCCACTCCGCGGCGTAATGATTCATCAACGAAAAGCTGAAGTGATTATATTTAGGAAGTAAAGGTTACGTCACACTCGATAGTTCTGAAATTCGCCACGAGAATGCTCCCTGTGCCGGTCTATAAGTACGGTACATTTATAGCGTCGTCACGTTTGTTACCGACGGTTTTTTTAGGTGTGGATCCCAATCGATTCCCGTCTCCGTGTGCGGTAATAGCTACAAACCGGAGCAGTTATCTGTTCAGTAAAATTTGTTCCATAACCCATAAAGTGGGAAGCAGGAATTATGGTATCAGCTTCGAAGTGGGTGGTTTGCATGTTCATGTTCATGATTAAGTTCAATTTTCTGAACTTTAAAATTATGAACAATGGACGTGAAACAAAATTGTAGTTAACGTTTGGTATAATCTGCTCGTCCCACCATTGCGAGAGCGCCCTTTCAAGGGATATCCGCAGGTAAACATGCACGTTAAGATATCTGTATGATATTACAGTATTTTTGTTATTTCTTAGATTATATTTAACAAAAAGGTAATATTCGCTATCAAAATGAAGTAAAATGTAATAATATGGATCTATATTAAAAACACAATTCAAGATCTAAGATTGATTTATTGTAAATTCGCCTAATAATAACCTCGTGAATGTCGAAACGTGTAGCGAAACACCTTTGCCCAATAGCCGGATGTTAATACCTTAGTATCGATTTGTTTTTGTTTGTAGGTATTGTTGTTGTGTAGACGGCCCTCTTAACGCTATTGTTAAATTCGTAGTTAGCTTTTGCCTCATTTTTTTTAATTCGCTTAGTGGGGGATGGAGTCCAACTGGGTCCACTCGGCACGGCGGCCACTAATTGGCCTATTGTAGCCTGCCCCGGGTGATTATGATGATGGAGAATTTGGTGGAATGAAGATTGGCAAGGGAAACTGAAGTACTAGGAGAAACCCCGCCCCAGCGCCACTTTGTCCACCACAAATCCCACTTGACCAGACCAGGGTTGAATCCTGGCCGCTGCGGTGGGAAGCCAGCGACTAACCGCTTAAGCTATGGCGCGGCCTTTTTGCCTCCTACTCAAACGTTCGCGGATTCTATTCTGGGCTCGCCCACACTTCCCTGCGAGAAACCACGAAATACTGCTCTTGTAAATTAAATCACAGCGTCATCGTCTCCCCAGTTCCTCCGCAGTTCATTATTCAGCATCGTCCACACGCTAAGAGCATCGGGAAAGCGTTATTATGGATACAGTAACAAAGAAATCCGCGTCAAATATTAGCAATAAATTCAAACAATATCTCAAATCAACAGATTCAACAAATTTCTTTTGAAATAAAGTCAAAATCAATAAAGTTTCCCCTCGATATAGTACGGCATGCTATTCAGAGATGGCAGCGCTAATGCTGACGTAAGTTCACTGAAAGATGGCTCTGAGTACGGCATGCTGAAAAGTAGTTCCCCTGTTACCGACTAGGTGGCGGGGTGATCAAGTAAGAAATATCTACTTACTGCGTCTTCCGCATGATGGCAACACCATGTCCTATTCTACGTCGGCCATCTTTGAAGCATATTGTTGCGTAATCAATAAAATAACGTTCATTCTAATTATTTTCCATTCATTCTGTTTAGTAGATTAAGCATAAAATATGTTTTATCTGTGACTCATATGAAATTATTTGGATTTGAGGTCTTAAGATTGTGACTATGTAGTGTACTACCTTCTGTGTTATGATACCACGTAGTCTTACAGAAGTGCGCAGACGTTTCGGAGAACCATACAGCCTTAATCTCTATTTTTCCACTTCGAAATCATAGGAATATTTCAGGATTAACACAGGTTAATCCTCTCCTTGCATCCAGTTCTTTCTGGCTTCTTGACAGGCCTGCGAGCATGTGTGTGCACGACGCTTGGCAGAGGCGGAAAGCACCGTTTGCTTTCACTTAATTTTCTACCATGAAAATGGAGGCAACACATTCCTCCGAAATAGAATTGCACTGCTAGTGGCCTTCAGTACTATTTCTAGATGTCCTTGCATTGTCTTTAATCTCCACTTGTGTTATCAGACTTAATCGTCTACAGTCGGGTCTGCTGTAGATACCGTTATGTAACTTGCCCGCGTGTCCTTAATTCTTCTGTGTTCAGGAGTCTTTTACGTTGGCTCTTTCCATTAGCAAGTTGGGGCTCTTGTTCCTTTTTAGTGCATTTAATGATCCTACCCAGCCCAGTGTGAAGGTGGAATTAGCACTTGACTCTTAAGAAGCAAGAGTAACTGAGGACTGTGTACACAAATTTCAATATACACGTCATGAAGGGGAGTATATAGGGATCTGACGATGCTGTATAACGCTCAGAATTATTGCGTTTTTTTTACACTGTCCATCGTCTGGTTTTCTGAAACACTAGTTTCAGATCTCCGGTAAGTGTAAGCGATTTTTCTGTCTGCATAGTGTCCAGACTGGTTGTAGGATGCAGCCAGCGTCCCATGCAATGGGTATTGTGGATGCTTTTGTCGGGGTAAACGGCCGGAGAGTGAAGTTGAATATTTTTCTCCATCTCGTGCTGAGGCTTGGGAATGGTGAAACCATACCTCCGTTCCCCTTATATCTCCATCGCTTGTGCTTCACATTTTATCAGAATGTTACGTATAAAAGCAATTTATGGAACCCGCAGGTTCATTACCGGTTTAACAAGAGCTCTCCAGTAGTCTGTATTCTGAGCCAGATCAATCTAGTCATTACCACCCAAAACTCTCTCTCTAAGATTCATTTTATTATTGTCCACCCACCTACATTTTTGTCTTCCTAGTGGTCTCTTTCTTTCTGGCTTCCGTACCAGTATCCTATATGCATTCCTCTTCTCCTCAATCGTGCTACGTGCCCCAACCATCTCATCCTCCCTGACTTGATCATTCTAACTACACTTGGCAAAGAGTACACTCGTAATGCAATTTTCTCAAGCCTCCTGTAACTTCATCCCTCTTCGGTCTGTTAAGAGTTAGAGGCTGAATGGACTTCAGGGTCATAGTGCGGCTGGAAGGGCTACGTCAATTGGAAGGGGATTCTAACCCGTTGCATTACGCCATGTAACACAGTGCCTCAATCAGCTACGCTACCGCGTCCCCAAGGCGTATGGGGAAGTGGGGGTAAATGTCCACACACCTCGGAACTGGACAGAGATAAGGGATAGAATCGTTCGTTTTAGCCCCGGGTGAAACCTCCGATTCTTACTGGGAGGGCCCCCGAGCCCATCTGAACATGGTGTCACCTCTGTTGGAAGTCGGACACAGCCAAGTCTATTACACTACTAAGTAAACTCTTCCAGATGTTCGCAACACGGGGATTGTGGACTCCATTACGGATAAGCCTAGTGTAACATCCGTTGATAATTAAACGGGAAATCGTTATTATACTGTTTCGTACTATTAACTTCCTCTGCCTTCTCCCGTATTTCTTCCCTTCCCTACATCATGTCGAATGATGAGTCGAGGCCACGTTGAAGTAGCCATTCCTCAACATTTTTCTTTGTATTGTATACTACACTTCACACATGGCATAGAATTATCATCAATATTGACAGAACAGGTAAAGTTGTCCTTGTGCTTAATTAGTTAAGCACCATGCATTTGATTTGTTTCATTCTGGTCCGTCACATTAATATTATGAAAAAGCTAAATAGTTCCGTACAGTGTGACTGGTTAAGATTTTCTTATTTCAATTATTCTTGCCCTTAAGAGTAGCGTAGTGTTTGAGGGGCTATGCTACAAGCCGGAAAGTCGCAGGTTCAAGTCCCGATGAGGTCATTGGATTGTTTTCAGTTGACCTAATCCTTCCAGCCTCAGTAGGCCCTGGGGTTTACTCAGCCTCTAACAGAAATGAACACCAGGAATTAACTAAATAATTTTCCTGTGGAGTAAAGCGCGGCCGGCGCGTAAGGCTGACAGCCTTACCGCCATCTTTGAGCCGATTGTCTAGATAATGTGGGACCCTCAACATCTCACAACCCTATGGGCCTTCACGGCCTGTTACAGGGATAGCATTACTTTTTTACATGTTTTGGTCTTCAGAGACCATCTTCAGAGGCTCACCTTTACATCAATATAGTTAGAAATACAATACATGTTCTGAACGTTAGAATGTATACATACAATATAAATACTCGTAATATACAATTGGCTGTAAAATCTAAAGTCTTTACAACTATAGCGGCTGTTCCAATACATTAAAATATTTATAGTTAGTCTGTTAAATTTCTATTGGAATTCGTAAACCAAGCGGGTTCGTGTCGTCCCTCTTATTATTTCTTTTGACGGGGAGGGGCGAATGTGTATGTATATATTTTAACTTTTAGAACATGTACTGTAATGGTGACTTGTAACAGTCTTGATGTAAAGGTGTC